TAAAAATAAATGAAAAATTTTGGGTTTGTGTATAATATTATTTTATTGAAAAAATGTGTGGTTGAAAATGAATTTTTAAAAAAATGGGACTCAAACAAAAGCTAAATTTCTTCTCATAGATATTGGGCTGTCGAAAACTACTACTTCAAACTCTTGTTGATAAGGTGAAAGTGATCGATTCTATTTTGATGAACAAGTCAATTTTAGGGTTCATGGTGAAGAGTTTTGGTTAAGTTTCAGTAAAAATGTTTGAAATAGAATTTACTTGTAGTAAAAGCCACCTTAGTATGTATACATGGATGAAAAGTTGAGGCACTAATTTTGTAGCTTTTTCTCTTTTAAGAAATGCTCACCTTTAATGTTAGGTATCATTTCTATAGTGTCCTTAATGAACTAAGGTATCCGACAAGTCGATTTGAACACCCATTTCTGAGCTAAGAATGTTCACGTTGTACCAAGCGCGAGTAAGACCTCTTACATCCCACATCAAGTGCTTTTAAGCACAAGTTCTGATATGCCCGTGTAGCATAAAAAGGATTTGAAGAGAAAAATCTATCAGTCAAGAAACTAAAATCACAAAAGCGTAACTTCTTACTGTGCAATACATGAAATAGTACGATATAATTTTAAGAGATTATACGTATTCAGCACACGATAAATTAAAATTATTAAACGGGTTATTCAAAAGGATTCCTCGGACTTCCATCCAATATTCTAGGTGCTAATAATGTTGCATATTTCACCAAAAAATAAAATATCTTTATTGTAAAAAATTTGTCGAGCATAATGGCGTCACTCACAATTAAAAAAATTAAGGTTAATGCATGCGCGCTTGTCGCTTTACACGATAACGTCACGTTTATGTGTGAAAAAATGGAACTTAATAATTGATAATATATTACAATATAATGATTAAGAAATGTTAGCTGTGATTAATAATCTATAATAATCTTTGCAGCATGTGATGTAACTACGACGGCACCGTGACGTTTAAAGCCCATTTGAATTTTTAACTCGAACGACATACTAACAACCCCATATTAAGCCCCTGGCCCGACTTGTCCTCCTTTATATTCTTTTTCATTATTTTTTCTACAATATTTATTTTTAATCACACATTTTTCATTAAAATAATATTAAACAAAAATGGAAAACGTTTCTTTCTCTTTTTAACCACGCATTCTCCATCAATCACTATTTCATAATACATTTCTTTAAATTAATGGGGCTCAAATAGGGCCTAGTATTCGTTCTCTCCAAATTTTGTCGTTGCAATCTTTTTCACCTGTTGAATCTAGATGAAGATTTAATACGACTAAATCAATTTTGACTTTGGTGGACGAGATTATTGAATTCATCAACTGAAAATGACATACTTGTATTGTATTACTTATCGATTAACGCTAGATAGTCAAGTGTAGAGTAAAATGAATTACAATCATATTGTTTGTACAATATTTTTTTTAACAATCTTGGTTGACGTGTACTTGACAACATTACGTTCATCATTTTAAGAATTGTTTTTTTTAAATCAATGGTTTAGATTTTTACGACATCAATACTATCGACCACAATTGTCAACAACAATTGTACAAATAACTTTATTCAAAGAATAAGTTGAAAGCATACAAATATAAGTCCATCTAACGATGACGAGTATTGTCTTTTTTTACTTTTAAAAATTCGAATAACACATCAGAGATAACGTTGGAGAAAACTCCTGAAGTTATATGTAGAACACCCGATAGAGAAAGTTATTCAGGTGCAATCAATTTCGCGACTTGAATATTTTCCAATACTATGTTAATATGAATCCACTTATAATACGTTGTGTTAATAAGATAACATGAAGCAGATAAAAATGCATTCAAAGTTACATAGATGGGCATGGCTGTGAGGACAAAATAATGAAATTGTAAATAATTTTGACATTATCGAAGGTGATTTGCCTAACGACTAATTGAAATTGTTGTCGGCAATTAAAAATAATAATAATAATGTTTGATATGATTTTCATATTGGTCGATAGCGATGGGGGTGGAATATCAACAAACATTGCAATCTCTATTGTACTAGCGGTTGAAAAATCTTGACAAAACTTTGGGTTTTAAGGGAACAATAGTTTAAATAAATAATTGAGTCAGTAATTTATTTAAAAAAATAATTAAAATTGGATAATCTATATTAATTTCAATTTAAAATAACAAAAATGTTTATTCATAGACAAATATATGTAAGATCTTCACGCAAATAAAGCAGTTAAAACTACTTGCCGTCCAGAAATTAAAAAGCTCCATGACTACACAAACATAAAATTAAGAGTGCAATTGCATGGAAGAAATATGAATCAGACCTGCTATATGTACAATCGGAGTTGACAATCTCGATTGACAACCACACATGGGAGGGGGCCCACGATGAATAAAAAATCGTGGACCCCCATCCTATGGGTTGTTAATCCGATTGTACAACTAATAGAATTCAATATAAATAATGCGCGGTTTAATGTACAGATAATTAGGAAGAGCATATTTTTTAAAATCTTGATACGGTATAAAATCTTTGAACGGTTGAGTATGTGAGTTCTTGATCAGCTTTCTCAAATTTGGATCACCAATCTTCAAATTGTGAACACATGGGTCATATGAATTTCCTCTAATAATTACATTAAAACATCTTTCGAGTGGATCCCCAAATTTTTAAATTCTTTTTTTATCATAAATAAAAGTTTCATTGTCTTTAGTTTAATAATTAATTTGACTAGAGTCAATCTCTGAAAATTCAAGTGCTACAAAAATCGAACGTCTTTTTGCTATTTATATTATATATTACACAATGAGAATTAGCTTCTGTTTGTCACTCGTTATTTGAAAAATTAAAAAGTTTTGAATTGTATTTTTAGAAGAATGTATAATTAAAAAATAAAGAAACTTTATTAATTTATGAGTAAAATATTTTATTATGTGAATGTGTAATAGAGAATAATAATATAACAAACAATTTAAAATTTTAAAAGTGACGAACAAGCATTTACTCGCGAACTAACTTTAACCATAACCTGATTAATATACATTTGCGCTTCATTATTGATGGTTTTGTCTGAACAGAAAGGTCAAGGTACAGCAGCCCCACCAATGGAGGCTGCCACGTGGATGTCCTGATTTTGGGCCTATTTTCAACCCTATCAAAAAGCAGGGTTCTTTGTCTGAATCACCCACATACATTCAATCCTGTACTTTTGAAGGGAAAAAAAAAATAAATCACAATTCAGGTGTTATGTTTATCTCAATTCAAAAAGCGGGTAAATAGTTTTAAAATTCAAAAATTAAGTATGTATTTAATTAATTAAAAATATTTATTAAATAAATATAATTAAGACACAGTTGCGTGATTAATGGTCACAAGTTCATAATTATGGGTCACAGATTTATTTACTGGTCATATATCGTCAAATTAATTGGTCACATATTATTTCGTGGTTACAAATAAAAAATTTTGTAGCCCACGTTATTTCGAGGTCATAGATTATTCAAATTACAGGTCACATTTTATCTATTGGTCACATAAGACACAATTCAATAGTCATAAATTATTTTTGAGTCACAGACATCTATTATTTAGTCACAAATCAGCCAAATAGTTGGTCGCAGGCACTTAAATAATTGGTCACAGACGCCTAATTGTTAGTCACAAACACCCAACCTGTCACCGTCATCGCTATCGCAACAACCACCACTACCATCATCAACAACACAACAATAGTTAGGCACCATCACCACTAACACTCCTGCCACTTGCGACCACCCTCGCCAGCACCACAATACCACCATCACTATCGCCATCGCCATCTGCTACAACCACTGTCATCACCTTCACCTGCACCACCAACAAAATCGTCGCCAAATCCACCATCGTCGCCCATACCTCTACCTACACACCAACAGAAACACCTAAACCCCCCCCCCCAACACCACGAAAACATCCCCAAACTACTGCCTAATCCAATAAAACCCTCCCAATTGCTAGATCCATCACCACATAACCCCCCACTACACAAACACCATCACCGTTGACCACACAAGCACCATTACCTCTATAGTAGTGTTTATTGGTGAAAAGAAAATATTATAGAAACTTGGCAGATCTAGCCAAATTTCTCAATGTTCTTTATCGTCTTCCTCACAATCGACAAATCAAATTATAGAAATCATCTTCTCATCGCCGCGCTACGACGACAATCTCCTGGGGTGGGATGCGCTACCTGAGTGGGTTAAGTGGGGAGAGTGAGAAGGGAGAAATGGAGAGAGATGAATTTTAATTTTTGGGTTTGTAATTGAATTTGGATGAGATTGGATTGATATATTTTATATTGATATTATTAATATTAATAGTTAAATCAATACCTAAATTGTGGATGAAAAATTTGTACACCTTATTTTTGCATTGTGATCTTGAAATGTCTAGAATTTTGTAATTTCCTCATTTTTGAAGGTAATAATGTTGATGATGATAAAATTTCGACCGATATAATTTATTATTACTGTAAAATGGGGCAATTTGAACGACAATTTGTTTTTCAAACTCAAGCTAGATTCGAGATTTTTTTTTTTTTTTTTTTTTTTTTTTTTTTTTTTTTTTTTTGTTTAACCCTGCAGGAATGAAGTGCAAACTCAAACTCAAACTCAAACTCAAGCAAGATTCGAGAAATTTTTTTTTTCCCTTTTTTATTTGGGTAACCCTGCAGGAATGAAGTACAAACTCCCCCAACCTATCTAAACGTGACATCATTTTCATCACAAGACACACCCAAGACAAGACACAAAGCTTGCCATAGATATGCTAAGTTCCCCAGCAAATTAAGGTCCTAAAAAGTCTCTTGTACTATAGTGTATGTTTGACGCAATTTTTAAGTGTTTATAAACTGGTCAAACATTATTTTTAATCACAGATAAATATATCCAAGCAAGAACTTAATCTTTCCGATAGGAAAAAGAAAAGTATTACCCAAGTTTTAGACATGGCACTTCAGAAGCACACAAGAATACACCCAAACACACGAATGTTCATAGAAACGGAGAGCGCTCACAGGAAGATTATAAAGGTTGATAATTACATAAGCAGCCAATCTATAGATCCATGCCCAATCTTCACGCACACAGAGCAGTAAACTACTGTGCCGTCTAATCTTTTCCGAAATTAAACAGCTCCATTACTACAAAATCATACAGTTAAGAGTGCAATTCCATTATATATCACTTCATAACTTATGGATTTCGCTTTCTCTTCTTGGCAAGATTATCAAAAACCTGATGGATATCTGCAGTCGTTATAGGCTTTGAGGGATCAGATGATTCCTGTGATAAATGAAATATAAAAATTAATCCTTTGAAGTAAATAAGATCATAGTTTCTTTTCCTTTTTTGATATTGTTCTACAATAAAATCAACCCCAACATAAAATATGAGTGTATATATAAGCAGTCATACCAGGAGGGAACGAATTTCGTCCTTCATGTCAGCAATTCCACTTAGAATCTCCATCTTCTCAACGTGACCTAGTTTATTGAGAAAGTCACCCTCTTGTTTCTGCAAATTCTCGTCCCTCTTCAGCTTCGCCACTTTCTCATACTCGGCAATTGAATCCTCTTTGTCAAGCAAGAAGCTGATTCCCTTCTGAGTGTAGAAGTCAGAACATGCATCACATCTGCAAAGGACTTCTCTCCAGTTTTTAGAAAGAAACATTGGTTTGCTTTTGTTGATAGTCTGAGGAGTTTCAGCCAAGTTTATTTCTAGAATACACTTATTGCTTGAGCCAGCAACTTCACTGCATCCACTGATATTACCTTCAGCATCAGAATTAGTAACAAGAGTGTCAAGTGAACAATTTCCATGCTCGAGCTTCCCCTTCAGAGGAGAAGCCGAGTCTTCGAGAACAGTTTTCTCCTTATCAGAATTTGCCACATTGCTGTTTCTAACTGATGCTGAAATGGTTTCGAGATAGTAAGTCAAAAAAGAGCAAACAACGGCACAGCCCTGACAGATAAAATCTTCATATAGAGGCTCGCCTTCATCATCTCTTGGAATCTATAAGAAAAATTAAGGCTGAGCAGCAGTTCCAATATAAAAACTATAAAAGAATAGAAGGAAAGCACCTTAGAGGAGAGAGTTCTTTTTTATTCTAGAAATATGCCCCCAGATAGTGAAATAATTTAATCTATATCGAGCATATTTGCTTAAAGTTTACTTAGAAGTAAATAAGTTATAAAAATAAATATTTTTTATTGATCAAAGTCGACATAAATTACTTATATTGATGTTAAGAGTTACATACAAACAAGTAACCTTTTTACCTAAATGCAAGAAAAAGTAACTTGTGCGTGCATGTTTGGAAACAAATTTTAGAAATAAATAACTCCAGTATGGTCAAGTCTACTTCGTGAAGAGTAGTTGAATCCAATATCAAATAATACGTGCTACTCAGCAAATGCAATGCCACACGAGTAATAAAGTAAGGTAAAGAAAAACCGTTAAGACCCAAACCAAGAAGAAGGATGCATCATCAAATGCTCATCAAAATACAGGTATATTAATATCTATCACGTGGTGGAAAGATCAAAATGGCAAGTAAATAAATAATAACATTTTCCTAAACCAATCAAAAAGTATACTAGAAGCAAATTTCATACTAATAATAAAGATATTCAGACCGCCTACAGTTTGACATCCAAGCAAAGACCATATACGCCCAACTAAGGATAACTTTTAATAGAACCATGTAATTTAAAAACCATTAAGCTACCTAAAGATTAAAGTTCTGTTTTTCAAATTATTTATTTATTATTTTTTTTTTTTTATTCTTTTTTTTTGGCCGGGGGGGGGGGGGGGGGGGGAGTGGGAACTTCACAAACTTTATTTCTTTATTTTATCTTTGTTGGGCAGTGCAGATTATGATGCAAGCAGCCTAATAAGGAGAGATATTAGTAATAACCTCATCAGGAGACTGAAGACCAATATGTTCTTCATGAAACCAATCCTCACAGATACAGCACTGAATCATCTCTACTTGTTCTTCAGCATTTGGATCAGGGTAGGGGAGATCACACGTGCAGTAAGTCCCTTTGAAATTATGATTGTATTTATTCTCCAAATTCTCCACATCTTTGTTTGGCAAAAGCTTACAGAAGAATTCCCCAAATTTTGAATTTCCACAGTCACACCTAAAATTTCTTTTGGTCCAGAGTTCCACAATCTTGTCAAGCAGGAAAAAAAAATTACTGTTACATAACAAACCAATAGTAACACAAAACTACATTATTATCATGACATAGTATGTAACAACACATACTGCATTATTATCATAACATAGTATGTAACAACACATACTGCCTGCAATCTGGCAACTAACATTAGAGATTGCTGAGACAACAATCCTCTGTCGAAATAAAATCTCAGAAGCTGCAACTGACCATTCAAATCACTATACTCTTAAGCATTTAATTAGCAACTTCAAGAATCAGGCAGTCAAATGAATGGCCTCTTATACTAAATTTAGACATTAGCAGTTCAAACGTTCAAGGTCATACAACTGACTCAAGACAAAAAAGAAAAAAGATAAGAAAGAAAGAAATTGTTCATCACTTCTAATAACAGACATATAGATGTTATCATCCAATGGATTTGGACAATTAGAAAGATTATTTTGCCAAATCATCAGACATGAATGAAAATGGACCCTCAATCAGCACAAGGCATCATTAGACAATTTAAACGAATAACTTGAGAATTTCAAGCAACAGCAGACTAAGAAACACGGATACGGATACGTAATTTGGGCACAATACAATATGGATACCGATACGACTTTTTTGAAAAACTTAGGATAGCCGATACATATTATAAAATTCAACATAAATTTATTAATATTAAAAAATATTAATACAGAAGCATGATAATGAAAATAAATAAAATACAGAAGCACTTTATCTTAATCATTAATTGTAGAAACTTCATTTCCTTCAACATCAACAACGGTTTCTTCATTATTATTAAAAATTACAATTTTCAACTCTGTCTCATCTAATGATAGATTAGCAACATCAAGTAGTCTAACACTTTCAAGAGTATCAAAAGAGTTTCCAACATCCCACATTTCGGATTCTCCTTTTGAATAGAGATTTTTTTTTTTTTTTAAAGACTCAAATTGTTATGAATGAAAACCAATTCTTCAACTCGATGTAGAGTTATTTTATTCCTTCTCGTAGAGTATACAAAAGAATAAGACACTAGATGAAGAAAAAGATTGCACAATAAATTTCAAAGCAGCATTTTATAGTGAAGGTTCATGTTAATCATGAAGTATCGAATACGTATCAAAAATCATACAAAAAATATAAAATAATTAAAAAATACGTATGGTATACTATCGGATACGTAAAAAATATATAAATCATTAAAAAACAAGTATCCAGTACGTATTAAAGGGCACTGAAGAGTATCGACGTACCCGATACGAGTACGTAATAAGTTTACAAGTATTGGTGCTTCTTAAGCAGCAGAGCCCATTCACGCTCAGGTTGGGCACATGCCATATAAATGTGTAAAGATTATAAAAAGAGTGACAGCCTATCGAGGGGAGAGAACAAGTTGACAAATGAAAAAAAATGTTACAATTAGTTTCAATAAGGATCCGTTTGATTGCAAATATGAAATTTGGATGGAAAGAAAACGAATTTTAGGGAATTGAATTGTCTAGAAATTGTTTTATTGGGAATTGTCAATTACTGTGTCTGATTGGTATAATTTTCCACTTGGAATATGTTGAAATAAAAATATTTTTTGATATTCGTTTAATTTTGTTTTACATAAAATTGTCAATTAAATGGGATAGAATTTGTTTCCATTGCAAAAAAAAAAAAGGAAAAAAAGAGCTAAAAAAATCATCTCTCTTTTGGTATTCATTTGACTTTATTTCAAATGAAAATTGTCAATTAAAGGAAAATATTTTTTTACAATACGGATAGAATTTGTTTCCATTGCCAAAAAACAAAAAATCGACCAGCAGCCTAGAAAATGAATTCTCACCATATTGGTGAGATTTCATTTTCATCAGTTTGGTGGAAAATGGCTGAGGTGGTGGGAAAATGAATTGTCTAGAAAAAAAACCTATCAAAGATGCATTTTTGGTTTAGGGTGGAAATCAATTTCCATTTTCCATGGAAAAGGGGCTTATCAAACAGCCCCTAAAATGCATCCAGTAAATAATAATTCAGATAAGTTGTACCAAAAAATAATAATCATAATAACATGGAACTATCCAGTCTTTCCTCTTGACATAAAAAATTACATTCTCTTGTGGAAGATGGTAACACGGTAAAAGTCAGAAACTAAAAAACTATAATAACCCATAAATGTACTGTACAATTTAAGAATTTCAAAAGTATAGAAACTACATCTAACATGTAAATATTAAGTACTCCCAGTTTTGAACATAGAGACAAGCTTAGTTTTAATTGGTGCATGTGCATGTACTAACAGATAGCATCCAATTTTTTTTTTTTGTGGAGAACACAGACAGACTTAAGATAATGAACCAAACATCACCTCATGCCCATCATGGCAAGACAAGGAGCAGGCCGTGCAAACCCCAGCATTCCCATCTGGTGTGCATGTCAAACATGAGAAAATTGCCTGCCTCTTCATGTAGCCTTTGTTGTATGTGCACTCCTTGCCCTGATCACCTCCCAATACCAGATCTGCTTCCTTTAGAATAAGAATCAGATAATGGTCAAAAGCAACAACCAATGAAATCCCAAAAGAAGTTTCCAAGAGAATAACATGTAACTAAAAGAAAAGAGCCTCTACAATAAAGATAAAAACAAATCCAAATAACCTCCCAAAGCTAGAAACAGTACAGTTAAAAAAGAATTTCCACAGTTCTAATAGCTGATTATAAGGATCATTCATCAATTAAATCACATTCAATGGCCAAATGAACTTACAAACTTCTAATTGGTCATCAAAGCCTATTGTGACTCCCAAAAGAAGGTAGCAGGAAAACGAACTCAAGTGTATTTCCTCAAGTAATCTAACATCACTCTCAAAAAAAAAAATAATAATAATAAATAAATAAATAAATTCGTATACTTCTTGGATAGAACCATTAGTGAGTTGGGCATTGTCCCGTCTACAACTTTCACAGCTAATACAAATGTTATTTCAAAATCACCATATAGTTTGATCTCAGTAGGACTAAAATCTCACTAATACTTTAAATCATGATTTAGCCTATTCATTCAAATGAAGAAGGACACCCGAAACCTAGTGTCAGATGATCCTTTTTTTGAATCCCAGAAAAATGCATAATTTTCAAAAAATGAAATGCAAAAAAGCTAGAAATTTTTCTACGGAACCCACCTATCTGAATCATTCTCACTTCTCAGAGAAGAAATGTTTCTTTTCTTCCTTTCCCATGCCCCATGCCATTTATAGGTATCAACAGAACATTTGCATATTACAATCAGGTGCTCGATTGATTGTCTATTGTTTTTGGGTACCATAAAAGCAAAACCCTAGGTTTCGCTGACCAGACGGGAAAAAAATTCACGATTTCTTACTAATAAAGAACCTTTCAAGCAGCTACAACAAAATGGGCAGTCTATGATGTTTACAGGACAAACAATAATGTAAAAATAAAATTCATAAAAGAATATAATTTATGTCACCAGGTCCTCTTCTTCAACAGCCTTGAGGTAGTCTCCGATTGAAATCGTGGGCTCAGCTTCAGCTTCACCTTCAGCTTCAAAGGCATCAGCCATTTTTCCCAAAAATCTTAACTACTTATTTTCAAATAATTATAAAATACAGGGGCAGAAAAGAAACCCTAGATTCTTGAAAAACCGAGAAAAATGGAATGCGAAAAGATTTTGCGTAGAAGAAATTAAGCTTAAACGGATGAGAATAAGATCAAGATTCTGAATTGGGTAGCAAATTTGGGCTTCTCAAATGTGGGTTAGGGTTTTTATACCAGAGGAATAAGCTTGAGTGAAACATAGGTCTTTCCCGCCAATTTGAGCCCCCAATTTTTGGGAGGTTCGCAAAAGTACCTTAGAAATTCAATTTTTTTATTCAGAGTGTATTTGAGCCCCATTTTTCTGAAGTTGACGGAAAATATGTGGTTAAAAAATAAGAATTTTTTTTATTTGTATGTAATATTATTTTAGTGAAAAATGTATCGTTGAAATGAAGAAAAAGAAAAATATTTAAAAAAAAAAATAGGTATCAAACAACGCTGCAGTAAACCAAATAAATTTACTCGAATCAAATGAAATTGACACATGTCGTGCTCATTCATTGTAGGCTAATGTCTTCTCTTCCATACTGGTTTTTTTTTTTTTTCTAAATTTTGTCAATCTACTTTGATCACAATTGTTCTTATCAAGAATTCAATATTTTACCATTGATAACAAGTAATTGGTGATTTTAGGGTGAAAACAATATTGTTTGCCAAATTTGCAATTTTTTCCACTTTGATCGTGTAATTATTTTTTGAGTAATGCTATTCATGGTTGTTCATTGTGATAATTGTCTTATGTTACATCCTATATGGCAACTTTTGATTTGATATATTAATGTGGTAATTTTTCTTACCTCATATATCAAATCACTAATTGTCACATATATATCATAGAAGGCGATTGTGATAGTGAATAACTGCAAGTAGCATTATTATTATTATTATTATTTATGTAATGTTTAGTGAACTTCCAAATTTGCTTCATGTTTTACTAATTTATATGTTAATATCATCATTTTTGCACATAAGTCACGAATACATTACTTTCAAAAAGTTGGTAACTAAAATAAAACAACTGTGTAAGCTTGTGGATTAACTGTAGTTTCAACCCATTTGCTTAACATTTAGCCCCCAATTGATAAGGATTAAAATTAATATTTTAGTTTAAGTTAAAGTCAATAATTAATTATCATATTCTATGAAACTCACAACTTTTCAATTATACATTTTATCAACTTTTATTAAAATCTATTAAAATCTACTAAAAATTTGATTTTAACATCAACTGAACAATGGCTTAGGATTCAAGTTGAAAAAAGAGTTAACTGTTTCGATGGTCACTTAACTTAGGTCTATATATTTGATTGGTCACTAAAATTTAAAATGTTGAGTTTGGTCATTAAATTTAGCTTCATGTCTTCGATTACTCACCGAAATTTAAAATATCGAGTTTTGACAATTAAATTTAAAAAAATATTGTACATTACTCACTATAAACTCAAAATTTTTCAAAGTTTAACATTTATACTCATGAGTAACGTGTAATATTTTTCAAAGTTCAAAATCAAAACTCGATATTTTAAATTTCAATGAACAGTCGAAAACATGAATCTAAATTCAATAACCAAAACTTGATACTTTAAATTTCAATGACTAATCAAAGATGTTAGATATTTTTCATCATTTTGCATATATTTATTTTTTATTTTGCGAATGATTTGCCGCTCCGCCTAGTGTTTGCTGCTGCGCAACGGGGGGCTCGGGGGCAACGCCCCCGAAAGAGAATTTTATTTTCAAAAGTTTTTGAATAGGTGCATCTATTCGTTTTTTTACAGTTAAATTTCAACAGATGTGTTCTTCATTTCAAGGGACACACCTATTCAAATAGTTGCCTCAATTTCTATAAATTTTAGGCGAATTCTCGTTTACAAAACATCTATTAAAAAAATTATTCTCCTCTCTTTCTTTTGGCATCATCAGTTCTTTTCGAGTGTTTTCTTGGTTTGATCAAATAGTCACAATTTAAATCAAACGCCTCCATTGTATCCTGAGAGAGATTTTCTATTATACCCCAGTTGTGATTTCGTTGGATAGGGGAGAAATATCTCTTAAAAAATAACGTTTTTTCGTGCCTTGAAGTTCATTAAGTTTCAGATTTTCCTACATTTTTCTCAACAAAAGATATCGATCCAAGTTCAATGATCATTGGAACAATTAATTCAAAAAAGAGTGATGAAAGGATTATTAACAAAAGCAGCTCAGATAAGCGTGTTGTGTTGCTCCTTCATTGTCCCAAAAATGAGTCAATTTTAACATTTTTTTTTCTTATCTTTCTCCAGGTCAATTACTATATCGAGAGGTTGAGATTTGGTCAAAGAAATTGCATAGAAACAACTTATTTCTAGATTGACTTTCTATTGCCATTTACTTGACTCCAGATATCTCTATTTATATTTTCATTAATTTGAGTAAGTGAACGATCATTTTACATTAAGCGTCACAATCATATGATTGAAAACATATCAATATTTACTAGAAGGACGAGCTTATGTCAGTGATGATATTAATATTTAGCAACCATCTGGAACGTATGACCTTATCGTATCAACTATTGAACTACTTGACTTGTACCCACTTTATCGATTGTAATTAAACCTCACTTGGTCGTGGTTTTAAAAACTGAAGGGTTGAAATTTAATTTGGTCGCAATATTATTATTCTCTATGACATCCCAATTTAAACTAACAATCAGGCTAATTTATATGAATTTATATTTAACACTTTTGTCGCCTGAAATGGAATCATAAAAGTAAAATTAGAAAATTTAGTTTTCTTAAATATTTATTTAGTGCAATATATCCAATTTAGTCAATTAAAAAGGAAAATATATATTTAAAAAAAATGCTTGTTGTACAATACAATTTACATAATCTTTTAAAAATTGATGAGGTGTTCTCAAATTTTAGACAATCACGTTTTAATATGATAGTATAGTGGCAAAAAATAATTTTCATCCACAAAAAAAATGAATAGTTTAATATTTTACAAAAAAAAAAAAAAAAAAAAAAAAAAAAAAAAAAAAAAAAAATATTATATCTCAAGGCTGATTTCTGCTACTCATGCCGGGATGAAAAAGGAACCTTTGCACGCTTCTGTTACAATTTTAGAGGCATACGCTATCTACTTAGGCTCGTGACTAGTAGAGCGCGCATGTAGTTTCCTTGTTACGTTAAATTCGGTTGTTCAAGTACAACATGGACACCGTCTTATTCTTCCCCTTCATTTTCCAAAGAAATAGCCGATGGAAAAGATTTTTCATCAATGTGCTGTGTTTTCTAGTCGTGCTCCTTCTCTTTGCACAGCCAACAACATCTTCTAGCTTCTGTAAGCCTGCTAAATGCGGCAGTTCGGGGCCGCCAATTCGGTTTCCGTTCAGACTGAAAGGTCGGCAGTCGGTGCACTGCGGCTATCTAGGTTTCGACCTATCCTGCAACAATCAAAATCAGACAGTCTTAAACCTCCCACAATCTGGTGAATTTATACTAGACCACATAGATTACACCGAACAGGCCATATCCATCAAGGATCCTGATCTTTGTCTTCCTAAAAGAATCCTAAATTTCAACCTGTCGGGATCACCTTTTCATGCATCTTATACAAGAAACTACACTTTCCTAAACTGTTCTTCTGACTGGAATGATAATGCTTCTTTTCAGTTTGTGCCATTGTTGTGCCTTAGTGGGAAAAATCACTCGGTTTTTGCCATGAATTTGAATTCATCTGATCAAGGCGTGCCAGCTACCTGTCGAAGAATTATGAACGTTTCGATTCCACAATACCAACAGTTTGTGGAGCTCCGCCTGATATGGAACGAACCTGGATGCGAGGACTGTGAATCTCGGGGTGGAATGTGTGGTTTCAAGAGTGAAAATGGATCTGATATCGGGTGCTCGAGTCCTCCTAATAGTGGTAAGTTCATTCTCTCTACCACGAATCCCCTAGGAACAACTTAAGTACACAGTACTAGACATTAAGGTTGATTATACCCAGTAACTTGATCTTTGGTGTTTTATCAAGAAAATTTGTGCACTATGACTCTAAAAATATTCGGAATGACAAGAAATATAATGGATTCTTGACAAATAAACACTTTCTAAAAACAAAATTTTTACCTGACGGAAAAGTATCTATGAACGACATTAGGATGATTAGCCCTTCTGTCTGTCATTAAGCAATAATGCATTAGATAACATTGTATTTCTAAATATCTAACCATGACCTAATATGTGGGAGCCAAGTTGAATCTTTTGCAAAATTTTCATTTTCAATTTTGTCATTTTTGCTTCTGTTTACCTGATGGCAAGAATTTTTTATGAGGGTGGGGTTGGATCTTCTAACTCCATATGAACTCAGTCCTAATCTGATATGATAACTATCCACAGTTCTTATTCTTCCCCTTCATTTTCCAAAGAAATAGCCGATGGAAAAGATTTTTCATCAATGTGTTGTGTTTTCTAGTCGTGCTCCTTCTCTTTGCACAGCCAACAATATCTTCTAGCTTCTGTAAGCCTGCTAAATGCGGCAGTTCGGGGCCGCCAATTCGGTTTCCGTTCAGACTGAAAGGTCGGCAGTCGGTGCACTGCGGCTATCTAGGTTTCGACCTATCCTGCAACAATCAAAATCAGACAGTCTTAAACCTCCCACAATCTGGTGAATTTATACTAGACCACATAGATTACATCGAACAGGCCATATCCATCAAGGATCCTGATCTTTGTCTTCCTAAAAGAATCCTAAATTTCAACCTGTCGGGATCACCTTTTCATGCATCTTATACAAGAAACTACACTTTCCTAAACTGTTCTTCTGACTGGAATGATAATGCTTCTTTTCAGTTTGTGCCATTGTTGTGCCTTAGTGGGAAAAATCACTCGGTTTTTGCCATGAATTTGAATTCATCTGATCAAGGCGTGCCAGCTACCTGTCGAAGAATTATGAACGTTTCGATTCCACAATTCATTCTCAACAAATCACTAGGATTTCATTATATATCGTTTGCACTATATGTATATTTTGACTAGGGAAACATCCTTTTCTTGGAATTTGGAGTTGGTTTGACTAGTATAACTGCGCGGATCTTAGGCCTTTGACGAAGAAAAATTAATGTGGTGTAGCTGAGGGACAGATTGAAATAGAAAGTATGTATCGTTTGGAAATATTAAAATTTTAGATGGAGGGATTTATCGTGACATCATTCGCTAGCATGGGAGCATCGTCGGGGAAAATGTCTTATCTGGAGGCTGCCTACTTGGGATGGAAGTGAAAAAGTCCTACTATCATTATTACTTTGTAAAGTTGTAATGAATAAGACATACTTTCTTTTTATTAAAGAGTTTTTTAGTTAAAAGTCCTACGATATATATGTATGCATATTTTTGTATTCTCCTTTGTCTTCGTATGAAAAACATATTAGTGAACTCCATATCTCTATTTTTCACTTCACTTTCTTTGGAGATAGATAAATTAAATAACATACTTTCCCAAGCAAAAGCAGGACTCTTGAATTTTTATTTATTTATTATTATTTTTTTATCGGCCACACGTGGATAGGGACAAAAGCTTGGATGATAGAGGGCCACAGGACAAGTGTTCACTAGTTCCCTACGATGATAGGGTGGCCAGCTCGACATTCGAATATTTAGAAGCAGTTATTCGATTTAAGAAGGATGAACCTCGTACCTAGCACAACCAACAATTTTACATTCGAATATTTAGAAGCAGTTGTTCGATTTAAAAAGAATGAACCTCGTACATATCGCAACCAACAATTTTATATTTCTTCAGTTCACCTTAACTAACTCATAAACAAAGGGTATTTTGATTAGCATACGTATCGTATGACCTTCTTTTCTTCCTTAGAGGAGAATCCATATCTTCGGGAGAAATGGACAATTCCCCTTTGACAACGAAAGATAATCTAAACAGCATGAAGTAATTAGCACGGCTCTCTGCTCCCGCGTTCAATCCCTCTCCAATGTCCATCAAAGTGTCCAATCGTTGTGTCCTCATTGCTGCCTTAGGAGACGTTGATGGTTCAGTGAAAGACATGTAGGGCTCGACGAGATACGATAAAGATTTTCACACCAATATCATGAATTAGTAATTGCATGCAATTTCTAAAAAATTGCAATTATGTCTAACTTTTCATTTTTGAAATGAAATAGGATCAAGATGAAATCTTATTTTTAAGGTATTTATATGAGGTTCCTTGTATGAAGGATAGTTTTAAGTTATGGAAATTTATAGTTGTGGTCCCCGTACTCTAAGAAATAGAGCACATTAGTCCCCCTGCTGCCAACTAACCTGCGCTGGTCAAACGTTAACCCTCCCACTCCCAAAACCCCGCAGGGCCGCAAACGGCCAAAACCCGATTTGTCAATCTCTTCGATATTGTCCACAATCGACCTGTGTATTATTGAAGTAAGTTCTGCATCTTGAAATTCACTTTAATTTCTCTTTTAGTATCCGAGATCGGAAAACCCTTTTCAGTGATTATTGTAAAGATCCATGCTTTTTGTATGTTTGATCTGGAAAGAGGGAAAATTATTGGTATTTATTTGTTTCTTTTTTGTAGGGAGAGAAATTGATGGCTTATAGACGTAGTATCACAGCTCGAGCGAAGCTGTTATATGAACAGCGGCAACGAATTACTCCTTCATCCTCTTATATTCATCGTGATGATGACGAGCGTAATACCCTGAGCGATGCCCCCATTACAGGGAATCGAAATATCGGTGATCATTTCCAAGGCCGATTTTTCGGGACCGGAAATGATTTCAGCACCTTCAATACGTCGAGAAACTTGTTCCATGACCGGAGATTTGCTCTTCCAGTGGCTTGTGGGCCGATTTTGGGGAGATGTATGTCGAGCGTGAGTGTTGGTGAAGGGAGAGTGGATAAGATTGAGATTATGAGTGATGTAGCGGAAGTGTTCGTGGATAATACTGCTGAGGTTGCTGTGCAGGCGGGGCCAATGGTGAATGAGGTGGCACTTGCAGCTGCAGACTCGTATTTCCCAGTGGCGGCGCTCCAGTACTTGACTGATTATATTCATAGTATCAGTGGGTTTAATTGGTGAGGACCATTGTTCCATTTGAGGCGAAGAATTTGTTCTCTCTATTTTTGAAATACTACTGTTTTGAAGAATTGATAATATACAAGTATGACTAATTAAAATCCATTGAAATATTTTGTGAGTATGTATGCTGAAATAAAATTGGTTCAAACAGTTATTTCTCTGATCAGCATGGCCTATCTCCTAATTCATGAATAAGTGCTTTGTGTGTATGTTTTAGAAACTTGATTGATGTTGGATATTCTTATGACTAAATGAAAGTATGAAAAGGTGCATGTGTGAGCCTTGTTGCATCCTACATTTCAATGTAACACTGGATACCTTAATATCTTCCCAATTGTATTAGTGCGCAATGGAGAGTGACCTTTTAAGGTGCTCTGGCAGACTTTGGTGTTTGATACGAAATTTGGTTCTTTGATATATGCACAGAATCTAGATTGAGTTGATTGTGTTTTGTATTGTTGTTAAGTACTTAAAGGTGGCTAAATTCACGGTCCTTTTTGAAATTTAACTCTGTTTAGGTGGGCATCAATCGTTCTGACAACTCTTTTGATTCGAAGTGTTACTCTTCCTCTTATGATAAATCAGCTGAAAGCCACTTCAAAATTTACTGTAAGTTTCTGCACATGCTAATTGCATTGTAGGGTTGTATTTATATATCAATTCGTGTCATTAGTTGCTATATCTGTGTTCTCAATTCTCTTCCATAATATGTCAAATTTGATAATTCCTGGAACTTCGCTATCTCATTGAATCATCTCTATGTATTGTATAATACTCGATTAAAACAAACAAATAAAAATAATCTCCCCACCCCAAAAATAAAATAAATAAATAAATAAATAAATAAAAATCCAAAACCCATTCAGCGAGATTGGGCTGAATTGGAGAAAAGGTGGTGAAACCAGCCTAAGTTTGGGAAGGGTGGCTGGGAATTGGTGGTGGGGCATCTAATAGGGTTAGTGGGGCAGTAGCTGAAGTAGGTGGGTGACTATTTTTTCTTCATTTTTTCTTTTGAACTTTTAACTATTTTTTTTCAATGCATTATTTAGTTTACCTGTTTGACCCTTCAAACGCTGTTTCACTTGTCTTTTTAACAATTTAAATGGACAGAAACTTGTTCATTAGTACCAAGGTGCTGGTGTTGTTAACTAGGAAGTTTAGGGACCTATTTGCTACAACACCCATAGATTGGAGACTCCACTGTGATTTCTCATTTAGTCTTGTGATTGCTTTTGTCATTTTGCAGTTCTTGTCTCATGGTGTCAACGCTATACCATGTGAATTTGCTTCCATTATTGCTGCACATTCTGAATACAAGCTTGTTTTTAATGACTTGTACATCTTGTGCAGCTATTGAGGCCACAATTGGAGGAGATCAAAGAAGATATGCAAAATAGGGTACTGCCACTGGACTCGTGTTTGTTTTGGTATTGATTATTGATTAAAAAAAAGATTCCAAAACTTGTTCGACTAGACCGCGTTCTTTGGAATGGCCTGAATCCAGCAATGACGTTATTTGACTTAGTTTTGTGATCTTTCCAAGAAATGGTTGGAGATCATCCATTGAAGTTATAGATGACTTGTATTTAGACAGTGCATTTATAAGAGTCTTGACTACATATGTTACTTATATTCCGTATGCTTTGAAATGACTTCTGCTGGCAAATGACTGAAAATTCTTGGAGTTTAAAACACGTGTTGTCGGAAGGGGGAGGGGAGGTGGGGGGTGAAGAAAACTAGTTTCTGTTTCCTCCAGCCTTCCACAATTATATATAATCTTTTTCTCTGTTGTCACTCTTTGGTCATTATTTTGCAGGGCATGAGTCCCTCTGCTGTTGCTGAAGGTCAGGCACAGATGCAGGCACTATTCAAGGAGTATGCAACTTTTCCTTGTCAGTGATAATCAGAGCCATCATAGTATCTCTGTAGATGATTTTGGGTTCAATTTCATCAAAATTCAATTTTTTTTTGCTTATTAGGCAATTTGTTGGATTGCTATAGAACTCATTAATTTTGTTCATTGAAATATAAAACCTGTTATATAGGGAAAGCAGCTTCATTCTTGATTATGTATTTTTTTGTAATAATGTTCATAATTATTTGCATAATATACGTACACATGTTTGTGATGTCCTTAGAAATTGCATATATTTACACGAATGCTTATTTTATTCATAGCCATAGCCATCTCTTTAGCATCCTGCCATTCCTTCTTTGTAATCTATTATGTAACTTCGAAAAGTTAGCTTCGTAAAAGTGGAGCATGGCATGGACATGAGCAGATCCCTCAACTCATCTATTTCCCCTTTTCCCCCCTAAAAAAGAAAAAAATGATATACAAGCTTATCTTGATCAAGGATATTTGAAGAAGTGACAACATTGACGATACTTCAGCTTTTTGGGTGAATACTTTAAATAAACAATGTCATTACATTGTATTTTTATCTGGTGTCGCAGATATGGTGTTACGCCATTTACTCCGATGAAAGGACTTTTCATTCAAGGTCCCATCTTTGTCAGTTTTTTCCTTGCTGTAAGATTGCGTTCCATGATACTACATGTTGAAATTCTTTTTTTTCCTCTTTCTCTGTGTTTTATCATTTGACATTTCATCTCATTGTTCTTTATTTGCAGATTACAAACATGGTGGAAAAGGTTCCTTCTTTTAAACAGGGTGGAGCATTTTGGTTTACCGATTTGACAACTCCTGATAGCATGTATATCTTTCCGGTTTTCACAGCATTGACATTTTGGATAACAGTTGAGGTTAGCACCCATTTCTGAATTTCTAATCACTTTTTATTTCTTTTATTTGTGAAGATATGTTAGTTTTCTCTCTTTGACTTCGTTTTGAGGATTCTCGACCATTTGAGAGCTCCTTTTCTTCCCTTACTGCTTTATTATTTGATAAATGGATCCCTAATAGAAAATCCATAGCACTCAGCCTTCCTTAGTATTTCGAACTCCTCTCTATAAATTGTATATCTGGAAGGCTAGAATTATGGGACTTCTATGAGTAATCTATAAAATTAAGTAGCTTATATCAAAAGAGAGAAATCAAATTCAATCCGTGTTATGTTCTTATCAATGAAACTTGTTCTCTCGTTAAATGTTAAATCCAACAATGATGTGACCTGTGAGGTCATATTGGGTCTCTTAATTGATTTCTGCTGGGCATTACTTGGATCTTGTGTGAGATCCTGTTCTATTATTTTTATGGTTTCTGATCATCATCACATTTGTGTCGTGCGTTAAAATATTCTTTATTCCTTTCAGATGTCTCACTGAATTTTGTCTTGTTTCTTCTCTCCCAGTGCAACGCTCAAGAAGGTCTGGAAGGAAATCCTGCTGCTAACACCATCAAAAATGTTTCAAGGGTCTTTGCTGCCTTGACAATTCCTTTTACTGCAGGATTTTCTAAGGTAAATGTTGCTTCACTTATACAGAACTTTGCATTATGAGCGAGTTTGTACACTTTGAATTTACTCCTGTGCCAAGGAGTACATTCACAATCATGATTTAACTTGCTTTTGCTTTGGTTCTCTCTCATAGTCCTTTACGAAATGGAATTGGAAGAGCTTGCATTGAAAACTTTATTGAGATAGCTATACAAACAATATTAACATTGGAGCATTGAACGTATATGAAATTGTGTAGAAACATTAAACACATTTTAACATAAGCAAAAAGATTTGCTGTTGTGAGATGAGAAAAACCTGGGAGGGATGTCCAAGAATGGGGCTTAAAGCATGTTTGTATTGGCTAAGTTTAAGAAATATTTAAACAAAATAACTTTTTATTGATCAGAATTTACTTAGTTTAACATAAGATACGGGTTGTCGGGTTGATTTCAAACTAAGGAACTTTTTCTTTATCTTTATTACTTAAAAGCAAGAGAAAAATAACTTATCCAAATATGTTTAGAAACAAAACATTAACTTCTACATATTCTAAAGCTTAGCCAAGCATGGTCATGACCTAAATGCTCTCCTAGATGGTATTGAAGAGCTATATTATTGTGTAAAGATCTTCCCATGTTATTTTAAGGGAAATATGGAAGAGTTCTATTCATATCCATCAATTACACATGATAGATCTCTCCATAACCTTCTTCGATCTGTGTGTTGCACCAAAGGTTAAGATGCACGTAGTCCCACATGTTGATCGATAGCCTTTGGTTGGGAATACAGGTCTTGATCAATATAATGAGCAGCAAACACGTCTATAGTCCGATAAGGAATTTATGTAAATATTTATCAATGCAAAAGATATTTATATCAATGATCTATTCTATTTACAGGGTATATTCTGTTATTGGATTACCTCCAACTTGTTCTCGCTCACATATGGATTGGGTTAGTCATGACAAATCTAGAAAATCACATTTTTGGCATCACTTTTGAGTGATGCTATGCTTACAAAGTAGGTTTACAAAAAATGTTGACAAAGTGGTTATTGGCAAAATCAAGACCACTCAATTCAAAAACAATTTTTGAAAGCAACCAAATCAATTGGCTTTGATCTTGCCAACACACACTTTGTCAACCATTTTTGTCAAACTACTTTGTACAAGTAGTTTAATTGATCACTTTTTTCGTATGATTTATTTTCAGTTATACTTTCCTAGTAATTTCTCCTTTCTTTCCAGTTATTAGAATACCCGAGGTGAAGAAGTTCTTGGGCATACCTCTAATACCCTTGACACCACCTTCTTCAATGGATCAAAAACCTGCCTTCTCATTTTTCGAAGCACTCAAAAAATATGCAGCAGCCCAACAACAGCAGTCTCTACCGTCATCACCTGGTGAAGCATCAAAACCTACAACTCTGAGAATCCCTTCTTCAGCTGTTCTTAATCAAAGGCTTAAATCCTTGGAAAAAGAAGTCAAAGGAAGGAAAAAAGGGAAGAAAAGGTGATAATATGAATTACCCTTCTCCATTGTGCCGATAGACATAAATCCAATTTTTTCGAATAACATATATTTTATACGAGTATGAAGCGATGGTTTAATGGGAGTTTTGAGTTATAGGCATCTAGAAATTTTTGGTTAAGAACTTTTAAGCAAAATATTTATAGTGCCTTAGGCAACACCTGAAGGCTATGACCTATATCAAGGGTACTTTGTTTATGATAATTTTTGTGTAGGCAGTGTTACGCTAACTTCAGAGCTTCTGTAATTATAGTTGTTTGTTGCATCAGTAACTTCAATACCATGAATATTTGAGTATTTGACTGTAGAAATAACACTTTTGAGGTCTGGTGATTAATGTTCATGTCGAATCTATTAACTAAATGTCGTCGTTAGTTGTTATTTGTGTTCGCGATGCAACATTATGGGTACGTTCGATATACCATGCTGGATTGGGCAGGATATGATTACAAGAGACTATATTGAGGTGAATTGTTTTAATATGGCATTTGGTGTTCTACACTATTGAAAACAAAAAGATCTATAATTTCTGTCTTTTTTAAGTAAATTTACTTTTCAAGTATTTTTTTCTATAAATATGTTTTGAGTATTTTACTTTTACTTACTCTTGAATATAAAAGGGTTTCTCTTCTTGAGAAGTAATTTTACGTTTGTGTCAAAATAAGTAACTTATTATTAACTTTTAGTAAGAAAAAGTGAATTTGCTTTTTGTCTATAAATATGTTTCTATAAGTTACGTTTTCCTTATTTTTATTTAAAAAAACTTACTTTTGTAAAAGTGCCTCTTATGTTAACTTATTTTTTAACTTTCATTAATAAAAGAGTTATTTATCTAAAACTTATTTACTTATGAACAAGTTAGGTTTTTGCTTATAAACCATTTTGATAACATTTAGTTTTATACTTTTAAGTAAAAATAGTTAATTTTTAAAAGTAATATATTTGTTTTTTAATTTAATTAATATAGAGTTTATATATTTCAAATTATACTTATTTACTTTAAGTAAGTTCTACTTGTAAATAAGTTTAACGATATTACAAATAGCATGTGGGCAGTTGGGTTGACCAGATCAACTTAATTTGGGTACCATCCATGCCAAACATCATATTTGAGCAAAAATAATTATTATCCGGTATAATACAACAATTAATAGTATTTTAATATTCATTCATGATCTGTTGTAAACGAGTTAACTGTTCCAATGGTTACTGAATTTAGGTTTATATCTTTGATTGGTCACTGAAATTTAAGATGTCGAGTTTTGGTCACTGAATTTAGATTCATGTCTTCAATTGCTCATTGAAGGTTCACATCTTCGATTGCTCACTGAAATTTAAAATGTCAAGTTTTGACCATTGAACTTTGAAATGTATCGTACGTTACTCACTAGCATAACTGTTGAACTTTAAAAAATATAAAAATTTTATACTGAGTAATGTACCGCATTTTTCAAAGTTCTGTGTGTAAGATATAATATTTTTCAAAATTCAGTGGTTAAAAATTGACATTTTAAAATTTAATGAGTAATCGAAGACATGGACCTAAATTCAGTGACCAAAATTTGACATTTTAAACTTCAGTAGCCAATAAAAGACATGGATCTAAATTCATGATCATTGGAACAATTAACTCGTTGTAGACACATCATGCATCTATATGAATATTTCTTAATTAAGCCCTCATCAATGTGAGTTATGTTGGCCATTGCACCTTAAAAATATAAGGTTGTGTTTAATTGGCGTGAAAAATATTTTCTAAAAAAAATATATATTTTCTTTGTTTTGAGGAAAACAAAAATTTACCTCCCCAAAGAAAGTATTTTCTTCAAAAAAGAAAAATTAGACATGTTTTCAATGGTTCAAAAATATTCTTCATGAAAAAAATGACAATTAAATAATCTAAAATTTGGAATTTAGGTGTAAAAAGACCATTTCAATGATTTTTTTTCCCAATTAAACACACCCTGAGTATAAATAAAGTAGCTCTTACAATATTGAGCAGAGAACAACTTTGGGGGACAATCCTATATGCATACATGGTAGGGCTATTTTATTTAAATCACGACATATCGGATCTTGAATCACGCAAGACGTAACATCTTCACTTTCTTACCACTTTGTTTTTCAATCAAACACACCTTAAGTGTAAATAAAGTAGCTCTTACGAGATTGGGTATAGAAAAGTATAGGTGGACGATCCTATGCCCCCATTTGACCCCCATTTTTCGAAATGAAAACGGGTGAAATAGTTTTTTTTTTTTTTAAATGAGTGGTTGAAAAATAAGGAAATTTTTTCCATTTGCGTGTAATATTATTTTATGAAATATTGTGTTGTTGAAAATAGAAGATAGAAAAATAAAATATAATGTAACGTAAGGGGGGGCCAAATGGGGGCTATATGTATACATTGTACTGGTAAGGCTATTTTATTTAAATCATGACATATCGGATCTCAAGCCATTCAACTCGTAATATCTTGACTTTCTTTTCACTTTGTTTTTCTATTGTATCACCTCGTACATAAAGGTACCACGATTTGAGTGGCTTGAGGTTTAATGTGTCGTAATTTAAATGGATGGTTCTATCACGTACACATAGAATTATCTTGCCGAAATTTTTTCCAATTGAGATGAGCAATGTAAGGTAGGACTAAGATGGAATATTTTATTGTTCATACCTGAGAATGTACTTGGGTAATTGGCGCAAAACATCCTTACCTTTTGAGGTTATTGTGGAAAACGTCCCTACCTTTCATTTTTTGGCATTTTTGCCCTTATTTACCACATTTCTTGCGCTGAAGGTCCTTTTCACTGTTTTTTGACGATTTTGCCCTCTATTCAAATAAAAGAAAAAGAATAGAATAGAAAACAAAAGAATTAATTGCAACTAATACCCCAAAATTTCAAAAAATTACAAATTAGTAATAAATATAGGAGTTAATAGCCCAAATGGTTACTAAACTTTGCCAAAGGTCCAAAAAGGTCATTGAACTTTTTTAAATACAAAAAGAAAAAAAAAACCAACAAAAAAAATTGAAGAAACGGGCCCCACCAACAAAAAAAGGACAAAAAAAATAAGGAAGGTGAAAATGGAGAAAGGTGAAAAGTAAACCAAAAATTATTTTTTATTTTTTCAATCATACATTTTTAATCAAAATTTATTGAAAATTTTATTTTTAAAAATAAAGAAAAAAAATATAGATTAGTTTTGCTAAAAATAAAATTTTCAATAAATTTTGATTAAAAATGTACGATTGAAAAAATAAAAAATAATTTTTGATTTACTTTTCACCTTCCTCCATTTTCACATTCCTTATTTTATTTTCATTTTTATTATTTTTGGTCCTTTTTTTTTCGGTGGGGCCCGTTTCTTCAATTTTTTTGTTGGTTTTTTTGGTTTTTTTTTTTCTTTTTGTATTTAAAAAAGTTCAATGACCTTTTTGGACCTTTGACAAAGTTTAGTAACCATTTGGGCTATTAACTCCTATATTTATTACTAATTTGTAATTTTTTGAAATTTTGGGGTATTAGTTGCAATTAATTCTTTTGTTTTCTATTCTATTCTTTTTCTTTTATTTGAATAGAGGGCAAAATCGTCAAAAAACAGTGAAAAGGACCTTCAGCGCAAGAAAGGTGGTAAATAAGGGCAAAAATACCAAAAAATGAAAGGTAGGGACGTTTTCCACAATAACCTCGAAAGGTAAGGATGTTTTGCGCCAATTACCCGAATGTACTTACAGCCCTTATGAGATGCACGAACCTCCTAATTCTGCAAATATCAAAAGGGGAAAATATGGTCAAGAAGGATTTGTATGGTAACTATTTTTTCAAAATTCTTTTTTTCTCATAACCTCATATTCTCATAACAAAATTTTCTTTGTATAAACTCGATTTTTTTTTTTTTTTTACCTTTTAATCATATATTTCTCCAAAAAATTATTATTCAAAAATTCATTCTCTTAAAAAAAATAATAAAAAAACTCAAAAGAATGATTGTCAAATAGAGACACCTTTTCAGTGTTTGAAGAACAAAAAATATTCAATTAATTTTGGGTAGTAGGATCATAAAAGATTTATTTTTACTGCTATTAGTGCGAAAGTAATGAATAAAAAATCTGTTTACTTGAATATTTTTACAAAGTACAAAAAAATTAAGTTTTTATTTTTAATACATTTAGAGTTGGTAAATGAATTTCCCTTTTTTTTAACTCTTAGCCATTGTACATATCATGTTTATAATTTGTTTATAATTGACCAATTTTATTATTATTTTTATTTACATATTTTGTAAAAGTCATAAATACTATTCATTTATTCATCATTCATTTTTATTTATTTTTTATAATTTAGACAAATTTATAAACAACTCCCAAAATATACTATATTCATCTTATGGATGATCCAATACAATACTATAGAGTCACTAAATAATGCGGATAGTATCTTTCTCATTAGAGAAATAATTTACATTCTAATAATAATAATAAAAATAAATAAATAAATAAATAAATAAATCTCCTGCTCTATCTCCATTTCGTCTTTCATCATTAGATTTTTTGAAAGTTCTTGAACAACTAAATTGTTGTGTAATTTGTTCATATTGATTCTAAAACGTTCCTTTTTTCATTTATTTTAGGAAACAAGAGAACATAAAACCGAAAAGAGAAAGAATAGAAGAAGCGAGAGAAGTAAATATTAAGGGGTATATTTAACTGAGACTTTTAAAAAAAATTATACACTTTTTCTTTTGAAGTGGTGAACTTTTGTAAATGTGGGTGGAATTAATGAATGTCTTTTGTAGACTTCTATAAACTTTCATTTAAAACTTCTTTAAACATAAAACGAATTGATAAAGCTTTTTGAAATTTCATTTAAATTAAAATTCACATGGATATAGTACAATAGGAAGTTCTTACATAGAAAGTGGAGGTTCGATCTGTACATAGCATTTTCCCCTCATAGTGTACATGTAGCACAATCGTATAAATAAGTATAATCCGTAGAAGGTTCGTAGAGGAAAGAGACAAGAAAAATACCCAAAGAACGAAAATGCATATTAAAAGAATTATTCGTTGAAAGTTTCAAAAAATCTTGAGGTGAATGAGACACAAATTTTGAGATTTTGTTTTTATGTTTTTCACTTGAAGATTTTTATATAAGAAATTTAAAAATTATTGACATTTTGAATATACATATGATTATTGAGACTTAGCACCCGTTTGTTTCTCATTTGTGAAAGAATGAAAATAAAAAATATAGTCGTTACGGACCTCACATGACAAATAAAAATTCAAATTTAATGGTTTGATGTGATGGATAATGATCATATTTTTTATTTTAATGAGAAAAGAATGGAAACCAAACATAGGCTTAAAATGTTTTATTTGATTATACCATGAGCCTGTTTGGGAGTGATTTTTTCTCCCAAAAAATTAATTTTTGACTGTTATTTCACTATTTCAGTCGTCATATTTGACTTCTTCTCTCACGAGTGGACCCCATTTTTCTCATAACGATCAAAAAATCAATTCTTAAAATTACTCCCAAACAGACTCCATGACTTTTTTGGTATCAAATTTTTAGTGAATTTGCAACCATTATACAGTGTTGTGTCAATGTAAGGGAGCCACAATATTTGACTGTGTTAGGTAGAATGACCAATTACTCCTTTAACTCTCATTTCATCTTCATTAGAAAAAGGACACTTTGGTAAAATAATAAAGAAATGAGTCGATGGTTGCATAACTATATGAATAAGTTCAAACTAACCCGTCAATTTGGGATCCATATGATACTACAAAAAGGACCCATCTACAATAATACAACGATCTAATTTTGGATAAAAATCACAGCAAAATCCATTTGAGACATACACTTAAAGTCTCAAAAAGTTTACATTGAATATTCATACTTTTTAAATCTCAAATAAATACACAATTCTATTTGATTTAACTTTATAAAAAATGATAAAAATATAAATCAAAATGAACAATGAATTTTAATCATAGATTTAATGAAAATCATAACTTTTATCAACTTTTTAACTACATATCTCAACAACTTTTATCCAAATTTGTTAAAAAATAGAATTTTAGCAAAATTTAACAGGGGCTAAATAAGTTGCTTTCTCGACTTCCTTTTCCACCCACTTTTCCTTGTATTCCCCACAAGCCCTTAAAATTTATCAAATCTAGGTCTCAACATCGGATGAATCGATTCGGGTATTTCAAATTTCGAAACCACTCATTACACTTTAAGTATTTCATATTGGAGCCATTCAAGTCTACATAATTACAGGAATCGAACTCGAACTTGAAAGTTTGATTCAGCTCCACCCATAATTTTTCTTTTTTAAATAGTGATTTGACAATACAAATTATATCCTCACTATTTTGCAAAATAAAATATGACCCATGTGCATATTTAAATACTTTCTTCAATGCAAATATGTCACAAAATAGTATTCAATATTAAAGAATGAAAAATTAGAAAACAATAATAAGTAAGTACTAGATTTTATAAATATTGAGTCGGGATAAATAAATTACAAAAATAAAAAAAATTACAAAGAATTGGCAAATTTGGTTTCAGAGCACGATTTCAATTTTCGATTATTATTATTATTATTATTATTATTATTATTATTATTTATTTATTATTATTATTATTATTATTATTTATTTATTTTTTTTTTTTAAGAACTGGGTTTCAGTTTCGATTGGAGAAGTTCAAGTTTGACTATCTACATCATACAACCTTCTCTCTACTTATTTTCTCTCTCTACTTATTTACGATTTCAACTTACGGCATTCGGTACTGCATATGCATAGCCACCCTCTATAACTAATATACACTGTACACAAAACTATAAAACTTGATAATTTCGTGTTAGCGAGAAATTCCTATCTATCTAATCGGCATCACATTACGTACGCATTTTTACATAATTAAGTTATATCTTGTTACANTATAGCAACCGTGTCCATGATTTGCTCCTGTAGATTGGTTGATTATCCATGATTTTAGAGATGAGATTAACAGTCCATGATTTACTCCTGTAGATTGGTAGTCTGACCAAGATTATAGGGCTAAGATCAAGGATCCTTTTCAGAGACATACACTTAAAGTCTCAAAAAGTTTACATTGAATATTCATACTTTTTAAATCTCAAATAAATACACAATTCTATTTGATTTAACTTTAAAAAAAATGATAAAAATATAAATCAAAATGAACAATGAATTTTAATCATAGATTTAATGAAAATCATAACTTTTATCAACTTTTTAACTACATATCTCAACAACTTTTATCCAAATTTGTTAAAAAATAGAATTTTAGCAAAATTTAACAGGGGCTAAATAAGTTGCTTTCTCGACTTCCTTTTCCACCCACTTTTCCTTGTATTCCCCACAAGCCCTTAAAATTTATCAAATCTAGGTCTCAACATCGGATGAATCGATTCGGGTATTTCAAATTTCGAAACCATTCATTACACTTTAAGTATTTCATATTGGAGCCATTCAAGTCTACATAATTACAGGAATCGAACTCGAACTTGAAAGTTTGATTCAGCTCCACCCATAATTTTTCTTTTTTAAATAGTGATTTTACAATACAAATTATATCCTCACTATTTTGCAAAATAAAATATGACCCATGTGCATATTTAAATACTTTCTTCAATGCAAATATGTCACAAAATAGTATTCAATATTAAAGAATAAAAAATTAGAAAACAATAATAAGAAAGTACTAGATTTTATAAATATTGAGTCGGGATAAATAAATTACAAAAATTAAAAAAATTACAATGAATTGGCAAATTCGGTTTCAGAGCACGATTTCAATTTTCGATTATTATTATTATTATTATTTATTTATTATTATTATTTTTAAGAACTGGGTTTCAGTTTTGATTGGAGAAGTTCAATTTTGACTATCTACATCATACAACCTTCTCTCTACTTATATTCTCTCTCTACTTATTTACGATTTCAACTTACGGCATTCGGTACTGCATATGCATAGCCACCCTCCATAACTAATATACACTGTACACAAAACTATAAAACTTGATAATTCCGTGTTAGCGAGAAATTCCTATCTATCTAATCGGCATCACATTACGTACGCATTTTTACATAATTAAGTTATATCTTGTTACAGGGAGAAATCAGAAGGATCGAAAATGGCGGATAAGAGGTTTATCATAGAAGTGGAGCCGGCTAAGCAAGCCAAGGATGGGAAGCCATCGATGGGACCGGCTTACCGCAGCGTTTTTGCCAAGGATGGATTCCCGGCGCCGATTCCTGGCCTGGATAGCTGCTGGGATATTTTCCGGTTTGTTTTATTTTGACGGCATTGTCAATTGATTCTATGATTTTTATACTGACGTTTATTCGTGGGGATTCATTATATACTTGCATGAGTTAAGTCTATGATTTTCCCCTGGTGCTTGATAGCTGATTTTAACGAAAGAGATATTGGATGACTAGCTGGAGTTTTCTTTATTGATCTTATGCACTGAGCTTAAATGATTTATGTTATGAAAATTGAAAAAATTACGGTTTATGTGTGTTATGAGTGAAGCTCAATTTGATGATGAACTCACCCAAAATCAATACCAAATTAAAGATCATTGTCCAAGGGAGCTGCAATCCTAGCTCAATTTCAGAAATAATCACGAATTGGAAAATGGGTGGGATAGAAATATAAGTAGAAAATGAAAAATAGAAGCAGAAGAAAGAGAAGAGATAAATCCAGAAGAGAAGATAGAATAACAGAATTTGGTTTTACATCAACATACTGATTCCACTCACTCGTCTGATCTGTATATATGCTGTAGCAATTAAAGAAAATGGCATTCCATTTACAAGAAACGTGTAGAAAAAATAGCGCTTAAATGCCAGGTGTGGACCCACTCTATTCCCTTTTGAAAAATATTTATGGTTGGTTCTCTTCTTCATTTTTCCGCACTTCTTCCACTGAGTTGCTGCCTCCTCATCATGACAATGTGATTGAATTGTATGATTATAGGAGATTTTGGGATCAAAGCATTAATCTTTTTGTTTGTGTTCGGTATTGGCTACAAAAACATAGAGATTACTCCGTTTGATGTATTTGATAGCAAATACGTGATAGTATATACTTGTTAGTTACAATTCCTGTATTTTTTTCTTCATTTCCTTAGATGTCTATGCTAATGAAAAGTTGTTTTTGTAATACTTTTTAAGCATAGTTCTATTATATATATGAAAAAAAAGGACTCTAGATATCATGGTTGGTGTAGGTTACCATTCTATCCAGTCCTTTGATAGCACTTAATATCTCTTCTTGAAGTTAACTGAATGATTCTGCTTGAAGTTTACTCTTTTGTTTTTCATTTTAATGTCTTATGCTCGTGAATCTTTGAATTTAACTATTCCCTTGTATCACAGCTTGTCAGTGGAAAAGTATCCCAATAACCGGATGCTGGGTCGTCGAGAAGTCATAGATGGAAAGGTATATTTTAAATGAAATAAGTATTCATGCTTGCATGTCCGAAACTGCTGCTTATAATTATAATTATTTTTTTTTCAACTTTTACTAACTCCATTTTTTGGTTCTTGTACTCCCAGCCGGGTAAGTATGTATGGATGTCTTACAAAGAAGTATATGACTTGGTGATGAAAGTGGGGAATTCTGTTCGCACTTGTGGCATTGAGGAGGTAAGTTGCAATTCAGCATCTTTTGGAATCTATTTCTGTAGTTACTTTTCTTTTACAGAAGGAAAAACACCGCAATGCTAACATCAGTTGAAGTCTATCTTAGTTGTAAGTTATATCAAGTTAGCTTACCTTATTGAACGCAGAATTTTTCTTCTACTGTAAACTTCGGAGAATCAGTTGCCTTGTCATTAGACAAATATTCAGGGCTATGGTTACTTATGGCTTCTAATTAGTTATTCATAAGAAATTGTGTATTTGTTTTCTAATATTGTCTTAGGTGTTTCTTTCTTTTCTTTTTCCCTTTGTCGTTCCTCTATGGTGATCTGTTTGACTTCTGCCCCTTACTACTCATTTACGGTGGTTTATCTGCACTAGTAGTAAACAATTACTTGAATGTGTCTCACTTTGTTAATGATTTTAGGCTGGACGATGTGGTATTTATGGTGCTAATTCTCCTGAGTGGCTTATCAGTATGGAGGTAATCATCTTCTTACTATTCCTTCTCTCTTCCTCCCACTATGTTGTTTTCTTGTCGTCGTTGACAGTATGAAAACAAGAATTGCATGTCTATTTTCTTTTGTAAGTTGTAAATTGTTGGTAACATCCGCACTAACAAGGGCCCTGAGAGGAGAGTATAGTACAGTATATGTTGCAATTTAGCCATTTGAAAGCTCTTTTCTCTACACACTCATTTTCAACTACACATTTATATAATAAATATTCAGCACTTAAATTCAAAAATCTTTCCTAATTTTAACTACACATTCTCCTAAAAATCACTATTCAAAACATTGTTTTTTCCTAAATAATGACCATCAAGCAGGGGCTTAATCTAACTTGAAGAAAGGAATCAAAATGTCTTTGGCCTCATTGCATTCCATATCTTTTTCTTTGCCTTCATGCTTCAAATCTTTTCCTCCCCTTTAAAAGTATTCTTATTGGATGGCTACTTTTGCTTCATAGATTTCAGCATTAATGTGGTTATGAAAATATCCAGGACAGAAGTTTCCACATTTTTTCTAACTCCGACAACTAAATGCAGGCATGCAATGCTCATGGACTCTACTGTGTTCCTTTATACGACACCTTAGGTATGTAAATCTCTTCTATTGCATTCAGCTTTGCACTTGTTGTGATGCAGTGGATGCCTCTATCAGTTTACAATTCAAAGGCTTTTTGGCTTTTATCATCTACTTAATGCTTTTGGGACCTATGATTTAAGACCATCCATAGTATTCATTAGGTTACAAAATCCTTTTACATGGTTTAGGTGCTGGCGCTGTTGAATTCATCATTTGTCATGCTGAAGTTACAATTGTTTTTGTGGAGGAGAAAAAAATTCCTGAGGTACACTTGTTTAATGTTAAGAATGTACTCTTTTACAGGATTGTTTTGAAATTCTTCTGGACGATTATTTGTTTTTGCTAAATACTACTTTCATTAAATAAATTGTTTTTTGCTATTATGTTTTATTCAATACATTTGGTTTTACTTCTTTGGTATCTAATGACTGAAACAACTTCTCATGAACTTGGAGGTTATATACCAGAATGGACATTTGATTCATGTGATCAAGTTGAGGTCTGGACATGTACACATTCGCTAATACATGCTTTTGGCCTTGCAGCTGTTGAAAACTTGTCCAAGCACAACAAAGTCCTTGAAAAGTTAGTCATTTGTGGAGTAAGATCTCTTTTTCAGTATATGGATTTAATGAGGTTCTTATCTATTAATCTTTTGTTTATCTGGATTTTAGCAATTGTGAGCTTTGGTAAACTTACTTCTCAACAGAGGGAAGAAGGGGAAAAGTTTGGTGTGGTTATGCATTCTTGGGATGAATTTTTGTTATTGGTAAGTCCATTGATTTCAGTCTGTTATTACCACTTTCATGTTTGGGTTCGAAAATTTTTAGTCTGGGCTAAGCTTAAACAAACCTTGTTAACAAGAGCTTACATCCATGGGTTAATGAGTTGTTATTTTGTGTATAGTGTCGATTTTAAAAATGAGCTACTGCTGTATCCGACAAAAGAAATGCTGATAAGTTCTTTTTAAAGGACAAAGTAACCATTTTATCACCTAAATCCTAAGAAGAGAATGAAATATTCTTTCAGCTGGTCCTAGCGCTTGCATTCGTGAAATATTTGTCTGATCTCAGAATGCTAGTTTATCTTTGCTGGGTCTAGTACTATCTGTTGGCAGATTTATTTATTTTTTAAAATTAGTTAGGGGATTTGAGGGTCAATAAATAGATTAATATTTAGACTTTTATTTATGTATTGATTTCTTGCCTCTAATTCTGGCTCCTCTGATATTATGCAGGGAGAAAATAAGCACTTTGATCTTCCGGTGAAAAAGAAAACCGACATTTGCACAATAATGTATACCAGTGGAACAACTGGGGACCCCAAGGGTGTCATGATATCAAATAACAGCGTTATTACTCTAGTTGCTGGAGTTGAGCGTTTGCTAGGGAGTGTGAAGGAAGCGGTGATTACATACCTATTTATTTCTCTTAAATTGTCATGGGATACATGACTTGAATTAGATTAAATTGTCAAAATTTCAGTGGTTTCTCAAAAAATGCTAAGAACAAATGGTGGATTATTATAAATAAATAGAATACAAATTTTAATTTCTTTTTATTCTTGCAGCTGAATGAAAGTGATGTATATATATCGTATCTTCCTTTAGCGCATATATTTGATCGTGTTATTGAAGAATGCTGCATCCATCATGGAGCATCAATAGGACTTTGGCGTGGGGTAAGAATGTTTCATTTATTATTGTAGTCATATTCAAGCTTATAAAACATTATTATTAAATTATGACATTGCCACCTTGCCAGGACGTTAAGTTATTGGTTGAAGATATTGCAGAGCTAAAACCTACTATTTTCTGTGCAGTTCCTCGGGTATTAGATAGAATTTATTCAGGTCTGTTTCCTCCATCCATGATGTGTAACATGATCATAATCTACTTAAATTCCCTTCATTTTCTCAGTAGCACATGGAAATGGCGAGGAGTATTTCTGTCTTCATTACTCTAACACATAAGCCCATTTGTCAAAGTCTGAGAAACTCTGTGTATCAATGCTGGATGATATGTAGTGTTTCTTGATCATTTGTGCGTAAATATGCCGCATAGAAAAGGAAAAAAAAAAAAAAAATCTAGTTTCCAACAAATGAAAAAGTAAATTTAGGATAGGATAATATTTTTGAGTTTTGCTACAGGTGCCCAGAGTTTGACACTCCAGGTTACCTGCTACTCACATTGGGGTTGGGGGCCTCACGCCAATAAATGTGTGGGGCCTGACCCCTCACTCACATCAAGTAACCCAGAGTGCTCACCTGCAAACTATCTTGTGCACATAATTTACCGTCTGAAATTGAATGAGTTCATAGGCTTTAAATGGTGTAACTTTTGAAAAATCAGATTACGTAATTTAAAATCTGGAGAGAGAAAATATTTGCCTTCTGATTAAAAGGTCGGTCATTTCTATCCTGCACTTACATGCACTCATCAACTGTAAATTTATGCCCCCGTTAACTGCCACATCCATCTTTTCATCATTGAATTCAGTTCATATTTCAGGTTTGAAGCAGAAGATTTCTTCAGGGGGTTTCATTAAACAAACTGTGTTTAATTTTGCATACTCTTTGTAAGTCCACCTCTGGCTTTTGTTTGCTCTTGGTGATGGTTGAAGAATATAATCAACTTTACTCTAATCTGAACATAAAATCTATTATCGTGAGTTCCTTTTTCCATTCTTGCCTTTCTGTCGAGTGTGGGGCATCAAGTCAAAGAAATTGTCAAAACAGCAGTTGAATTATGAAGCTTTTTAACTATTTTATCATTTATTGACCCACCCTTATAGCTCTCCTCATATAATCTATAATTCTATTAATAAATTACCAAAAAAACAAATTTTATAATCATTCTGGCCGTTAAATTACAAGTCAAGGTTTTGTTACTCTTACAAATAATAGTATTCAGATGTCTGCATGTTAAAAATTGTAGAAAACTGCGTAACTTGAGGAATGGGATGAAATATACCGAGGCATCTCCACTTGGTGACAAAATTGCTTTCAGTAAGGTAGTAAGATATACTTGATGTCCGTGACTTCTTTTATCTTCATTCATGTTCCATTGCAATGTAACAGTTCTTGCGTGCTCTTTAGATAAAAGAAGGCTTAGGTGGCAACGTACGACTTATTTTATCTGGAGCAGCACCTCTTGCATCCCATGTGGAAGAGTTCCTAAGAGTAGTATCGTGCTCTTACGTTATTCAAGGATACGGTAGCTTAATCTTATGATATTATTCCTCACCAATTTATTTTTTATTTTCTTTATTTTTTTTCTTTTCGTCATACGGCATTTACTCCTTTTCATATGAAGTGGTTCTTTTATTTTTCAAGACTTTGGACTGCTAACTGACTCCTTACTCCTTGATGCTGATCACGGCCGACAGGTCATCTGTAAAATGCCAGCTGAAAAGTTCATCTTTACATAATATTTAATCTTCTATTTGTTGGCTTTAAACTTTGATTAGATTTACTTTCTCCGAATACTCTGCGACTTTTCTCATCCTGGTGTACTAAAATATATGTGATTGTTCCTATTCAAGCAGCTTGATGAACTCCGTCTTTCATTATTTTGGTTCAATAGAAGATAAAAAATATAATATAGAGGTGCATGTGGTGTCGGTGGCTTAGTCAAATATAAATTGATTGATTTTTTCTTCAGGCCATTCTTGAATTGGCACATGTAGTACACTGGTTTGGCACTGGTGCATTGATTGACAGTTATAATAGCATATTCTCCTGCTCATGAAAAGGTGCCTGATTCTATTGTGAATTTTGATGTAGGTTTGACAGAAACTTGCGCTGGTACATTTGTTTCCGTACCAGGTGAGCATGACATGCTTGGTACGGTGGGGCCCCCAGTGCCCAATGTGGATGTCTGCCTAGAATCTGTTCCTGAAATGGGGTATGATGCCCTTTCAAGTAAACCACGTGGAGAAGTATGCATTAGGGGAGATACTTTATTTTCAGGATACTTCAAACGTGAAGACCTTACGAAGGAAGTCTTAATTGATGGCTGGTTTCACACAGGTTTGTCTTGTCCCAGTACTCGTTCTCGAAAAGATTTGAGGATTACTTTGTGTCTTGTATATTGATCTCCGTAAAAATATATTTTGTCAGGGGATATTGGTGCGTGGCAACCAAATGGGAGCCTGAAAATTATTGACCGTAAGAAGAACATTTTCAAGCTCTCCCAGGGAGAATATGTTGCAGTGGAATACTTGGAGAATATTTATGATCTAGCTTCCGATATTGACTCGGTATGATGTCCGTTGTTGTCACATATGCTTACCCCCCTTCCGTCAACTGAAAAAAAAGGCCATCTTAAAGAGATTTAGAATATATGCATTTATATGAAAGATCTGCTAGTCGCATTCCACAAGAAAGAAAATCAAATTTCACGGTTCTATTCACTTATAGAGTAAATGCATTTGAAGTAGTTTGAATGTCTATATGAATGGCATTAAAGAAGTCGATCCAGTCCATTTTTTTCGCTGAACGCGGTTTATTGGCTAACTTAAGCAGTCTATTTCGAACTTCTGAACATCCAGAATTTGAATTTTGTGGATTTAGGTTAGATAATATCTTGTTGGAAGTTTGTTTCTCATGTTGGTGCTGCTTATATATGATTAGAGAATCACATATTTTTTCCGATTGCAGATATGGGTTTATGGCAACAGCTTTGAGTCTTTTCTTGTCGCTGTTGTTAACCCAAAAATGGAAGCAGTTGAACAGTGGGCTGCAGAGAATGGTATATCAGGGAACTTTGATGCCCTTTGCAAAAATACCCGAGTGAAAGAATACATACTTGGTCACCTTACGAAGATTGCAAAAGAAAAGAAGGTTTTAACTTTTTTCCCCTGTTCCCCGTGTTATTTTAGCCTACTATCACTAATTATATATACTTCATTGAATTTATTTATTTTTGTCTCTGTGTGCGCGCGTGTTTTATGTGGTTGCTGAATGCGCAAGGAAATAATTCTCAACTGTTAAAGTTTCCAGCACTGATAAACCTAATTGCTTGTTCTTGGCAGTTGAAAGGTTTTGAATTCATCAAAGCTTTGCATCTCGATCCCGTGCCATTTGACATGGAACGGGAACTGCTCACCCCAACATTTAAGATGAAGAGGCCCCAGTTGCTCAAGTACTACCAGGTAGGTTTTCTTTGACGCGTCTGAAGAAGTCATAAGATGCTTACATTCCGCAATTTGTATAACATTAAAGGGTCTGTTTGATTGTAAAGGTGGAAAAGGCAAACCAGTTCCATGTAAGTTGGAAAAGAAAAAACAACAAGAACCATAGGAATTCGATTTCCATGGAATNGGAAAATTCTTTCAAGTGGAAAATTTATTTTTCACAATGAATGCTACAATTATGAATTGATGATTATTTGTGGATCGATGACCAGTTATTAATTTCCAACGATGGTTGTTGACTTAGATCAACGTTTTTTTTATTGCTTATATTTAATTCGGTGATTTGTATTATTTCAAGAAAACTAATACCCCCTATTTTAGTTAATATTGCATCAAAAAGTAATTAATCACTTTTCGTAGGATCGACCCCTTACTTCCACTACTACATTAATTTTAAGAGGAATAGATTTTAATTTGGAATGCCTATGATAGCACGCACCAACCACCTATTGAAATCAAGATTCTATTAAATAAGGGACATATCTCACTCTTTCTAGATTAAAGGTATATCCATTTTCAAATTTCAATGTCACACTACCAATTCCCACAACTCTGCAGACAGCGTTATTGCCCATCATAACCTCATATCTATTCGTATCCTTGTAGTTCTCTAACCAAAGTTTTCTAGAGGTCATGCGAAAAGTGCAGCCAGAATCTAAAATCAACTCTTGATTTTGATCACTTTTCGTCGAAACAGAATTCAGATCAAGAGTGGACTTAATGACAACATAGACATCAATAGCTATGTTTTTTAGTGGCTCAACTACATTTCCCTCAACCAAAACATTTACAGTATGTAGATCAGAAGTGGATTTAATAACAATATAGACATCTTCTAGTGGCTCAACTATATTTTCCTCATCTACACTATTTTCTCTGTGGTTACCCATTTTCTTTAAACAGTCTTTTATATAATATCTACTTTTACTACATACATAACATCTCCTGCTCCTGTCCTAGACTTTGTCCTATGTTTTCCTTTACCCTTTCTTCTAGTGTTATTATTTCCTTGGTAACCTTGATTATTCTAATTATTATTCTGCCTATTAAGGGGTCTGCCTCTTATAAACAAATTTTCAAAATCCTTAGTATGTTTTTCAGATTTAAGTTCCAATTCTTTACTTCTTAAAGAGTCTCTGACCATGTCACGAGTTAGTGTATCTCTGCCATATTTAATGGCATTTTTAACTTCTCTATATGCTTCAGGTACAACATCGAGAAGAACAACAGCTTGGTACTCTTCAGAGGCTTTATCACCAGTATTAGTGATGTCTTGTACCAATTTATTAAACGTATCAAGATTGTCATCTAAATCTTTAATGAAGTCTATCTTAAAACTGAAAAACAATCCAAAAATTGAGAGAGTGGCGGGATTTTTCCAAAGTGACTGAACCCCAAATCCCTCAATTACTCCCAAACCGGATCTCTTTTGGACAAACAGACTTCGGACCCAAAATCAGCAAGTTGAGGCACCCCTTTGAGGTGGCACGTGGTGGTGACAACGGCGGCGGCCGACGGCGATGTGTGAGAGGCCCTGTAGCGTGATTTTTTCTGCCACTTCATTTATTTCATTCTGAACATTTTGATGTGTTTGGTTTAGTGTTTCAGGTTGCTCAGAGAAAATTGGACAATTTTGCCCTTGTCTTCAATCTGCATTTGTTGCTAATTGGAATTGTTATATTTGCTGAATCTTTAGGGCGAATAGTGGTGGCCCGAAAGCAGCAAATTCTTATCTCTCCACGTTACGGACTCAGGTAGGTCTGTTTTGGTAAATTGTCTGAAACCTTTATATTTTTTGCACTAGCGGATCATCATGTGGGGATGATCATTAAGTTTTGGGATTGCCGTTGCTTGGCAACCATTGCTTGTGCTAGAAATTAGGGTTATGCGCTGTTGATTATTCGATTGAGTATTTGTCATTTAGTTAAATCGGTATTTAAATCTTAGTGATATAACTGACGTGAAACTAATTATTTGTTAGACATAGTTTTCTATTGCACTGTTACTTCCGCTGCTTAATTCCGTTAGAACTATTGTGACCTTACCCGTTTCGAACATTCCCTTTATCTAAGACCGCGAGTCTTACAAAATCCTGAGAATCTAGAACGACGTATATTGTCTGAAATCCTAGGACTATTTTGTGTGGTTTGATTGTGTTTTGTGCACTCTTTGACTATTGTGTAAAGATGACAACTCACAACTTTGATTTGAAAATTTTTAATGGAAATGATGACTTTTCTATTTGGCAACAAAAAATGAAGGACATTTTCGTCCAATAAAAAGTTTCAAAGGCCATTGAAGGCAATTTTTCATCTGATTTTTCAAGAGAACAAAGAGAAGAAGCTGATGAGCTTGCTTATACCTCAATCATTTTATACTTGTCTGACGCCGTTTTAAGAAAGGTGGGTAAATTGAAAACCACCAAATAACTTTGGAAAAAATAGAAAACTTATACTTGCTCAAGTCTACACCAAATAAACTTTACTTGCTCGAATATTTTTTCAGTTTTAAAATGGATCCTTCAAAAGATCTCGATGACAATTTAGACTTATTTAACAAGTTGGTGCAAGATATAGTTAATTGTGAAGAGGCTGTGTCCGAAATTTATAAGACTATAATTTTGCTCAATGCGATTCCTGATTCCTATAAGGAAGTTAAGAACGTCATTAAGTATAACTGAGATACGTTGACACCTGAAATTGTCATAGACTCCCTTAGGAGTAAAGAAATGAAAATTATGGCTGAAAAACACAATAAGATGAGCAATGAGTTACATATGATGCAAGTAGAACTCAATTTAGGCAAAATGTTCATGATGGATATCAAAGTGGCGGCAAGTCAAGTGGCAATGGATGGAAAAAGAAGGGCAATGGTAGACCTAGATCAAAATCTAGAACGAAGGCCAGAAAATTTTATGACTGTGGAAACACAGGGCATTTCATAAAAGATTGCCATAAAGAAAAGGCAAGTTAAAAATTAAGGAGAGAGATAAGGTAAATATGTTATCCTCTACATCTGAGATAGATAACAGTGAGGTCTATATGCTTACAAGTTCAGTTGCATACACTATTGAATTGAATCTAACTGCTAATTCCCGCATGCATGAATGGATACTTGATTCAGGTGCATCGTTTCACGTGACGTATGAAAAGAATTTGTTTTATAACTTGCACGAATCTAATGTTGGGCATGTTGTGTTGTGTGATAACTTTGCCTATACTATTGCTGAAATTGGTGATATAAATGTAAAATTTAACACGAACTTTTTGTACGCGTTAAAGATGTTAGATATATTCCTGAATTGTCTAGGAATTTGATTTCAGTAGAAAAACTTGAAAATGATGACTTCACTGGTAAAATTGGAAATGGTATGTTAAAAATGATTAAGGGTGCTTTAGTTTCCATTAAGGGAACTAAGAAAAACGATATATGTATCACTACTGGGGAAGTGAATAGAGGTTTGAACTCCTCTATCTCTTCTGCCAAGATTGATCACACACACACGACATAATAGACTTGCACACATAAGCATTAAGGGACTTAAGCTACTTAATAAAAATGTGCATTTGGTAATGATTGTGCGTTAGATTTGTCATTTTGTGATCGCTGTGTGCTTGGTAAGCATCATAAAACTTCATTCTCCACGAGTGTTCATAAAGCTAAAGGCATGCTTGAATATGTACATTCTGATCTGTGGGGTCCTGCTAGTAATTCCATATCGAGTCAGAATAGGTATTTCCTATCTATTATCGATTACTATACTAGGAAGGTGTGGGTCTATTTATTGAAAAATAAATCTGAGACTTTCCATAACTTCAATAACTGGAAGAGACAAGCGGAAAACCAAACTGGCAAGAAAATCAAATTTTTAAGGACAGATAATGGCCTAGAGTTTTGCAACACGGAATTTGATAGTATGTGTAAAGAAAATGGCATAGCTAGATATAAGACTGTTTCTTACACTCCCCAGCAAAGTGGGGTAGCTGAAAGGATGAATAGAACCATACTTGATAAAATGCGTTGCATGATGTTAAGTTCTGGTGTCCCCAAATCTTTTTGGGGTAAAGCTGTTATGACTACCTGTTATTTGATTAATTTGACTCCATCTACTGCATTGAATGGTGATACGCTGCATGAGAGATGGTCTGGTAAACTAAGTGATTATTCTATGCTTAGAACCTTTGGTTATGCCGCTTTTTCTCATCAACGCGAGGGAAAGCTAGAACCTAGAGCTAGAATTCTAGGGTATCTCAAGGGTGTTAAGGGATACAAATTATGGGATAAAAGTCAAAAAGGGGTTAAGATCATCTTAAATAGGGACGTCACATTTAACGAGAATGAGATGCCATGTATTAAAGGGAAAACCGAACCTATGAGTGAAACTGAACCAGGTGAGGAGAGGGATCTGTTTAAGGTGGAGTTAGAAAAACTTAGTACACCTGCCCCTACTACTCCTAATGAGGTAGAGATTTAGGTACACGAACCTGAAGTGGAGAACGGTGATGAAGCAGTGATAGAAGAACACCATGAGGAAGAAAATCCCTTAACTAATTATAATCTAACTAGGGATAGAGAGAGGAGACAGACGAGAGAACCTAAAAGGTTCGATTTTGAATCTGAATTAGCTTTCGCCCTTGCTAGTTATGAAGAACTAACTGATAAAGAGTCAAAAACCTTTGAAGAGGCGATAGGTAATAATCAATCTAAGGAGTGGCTTAAGGTAATAAAAGAAGAGATGAGTTCTCTATAAAAGAATCATATTTGGGAGCTAGTACCTAGGCCTAAGAACAAATCGATCGTCGATTGCAAATGAGTCTTTAAGGTTAAGGAATGTACTAGTAGTTCGGAACCCTTAAGGTTTAAAGCTAGGTTAGTGACTAAAGGTTACATGCAGAAGGAGGGCGTTGATTATAATGAAATTTTTTCACTAGTTGTTAAGTACACCACTATTAGGGTTATGCTTACCTTGGTTGTGCATTTT